CTCTGCTCTCATGAGACCCCACCTGGAATACTGCATTCAGCTCTCGAGTCCCCAACACAAGAAGGACATGGAGCTGCTGGAGTGGGTCCAGAGGAGGGCCACGAGGATGATCTGAGGAAGGGAGCAGCTCTCCTATGAAGACAGGCTGAGAGAGTTGGGGCTGTTCAGCCTGGAGAAGAGAAGACTCTGGGGATACCTTCTAGCAGCCTTCCAGTACCTAAACGGGGCCTACAGGAAAGCTGGAGAGGGGTTATTTACAAGGGCATGTACTGATAAGACAAGGGGCAATGGATTTAAACTGAAAGAGAGTAGATTTTGATTAGATCTAAGGAAAAAATTATTCAGTCTGAGGGTGGTGAGGCACGAGAACAGATTGCCCAGAGAAGTTGTGGATGCCCCATCCCCAGAAGTGTCCAAGACCAGGTTGGATGAAGCTTTGAGAAACCTGATGTAGTGGAAGGTGTTTCTGCCCATGGCAGGGGGGGTGGAACCAGATGATCTTTGAGGGCCCTGAGGTCCCTTCCAATCCAAACCATTCTATGATTCCAAGTAGTTCATTTATTAATGACAACTAAAAAAACGGATCATTACCACTGTAGTAGAAGAAGAATATTGTGATTATGGACTAGTAAGAAAAGCGTAATTATTACATGTCTCAGGAAATTATAATGCAGTTCATGATAAAACAGATAAAAACAATGAAAAAATACATCTTCACTGTTATTTCTATTGTGTTACTAATAAGAAATGACAAGAAATATTCTTAACAAAGGCAAAGGCTTGTTAAATATGTACTTCGATTTTTACCATGTTCATCACGAAGTCAGAATTTATCAGACTGTTAAGGTGAAAACATGCAAGGAAAACATTGTTTTATTTTTATATATATATATATAAATTTTAAAATCTGAAATATAGAGGATCTTATTTTTAAAATGGAACTCAGTTTGCAAGCCCCATAGTTGCCACCGCACCGATTTATTTCTTGCTGTATTTTACACCAGAATCTCTTGCACCAAGCAACCAGTAGGCATAGAGGGCAACACAACTGACCATGTGACTCGACTGTTGGGGATTTTTACCATTATGGGAATCATGAAGAAGAAATTTCCTTCAAACAAAAAAACCTCGTGTGTAAGATGTTACTTGACTAGATATTGGTACTACTGTCATATGTAGCAAGTTGATTAAAGGCTCAATATTTCATAACTATGTTTTAGTTTATACTTTATTTCTCCAGACATTATTTGGCAACTAACTTCATTTAAATAAAATAAAAAATTCACTTTCTTTTTTCAAGCCAAGCCTACAAATAGGGTTACATTTGTGTTGCATGGATATTAGTGGGACTATGTAAAAAAAAATATAGCTGTTTTTAGTAACGTGAAAAAATGCATTTTGAAGTTGGCAAGATGCATAACATTGCACTTTGACAGAAAGACAGGCAATAATTATATTATTTATATATATTACCAATAACAGCAAATTAATATTGTTACTGTTGGTAGCTATTGATTATGCAAATACCCAGACTTGTTTAACTTTCTTTTCTTTAAACTGCTTTGTAAAAGTATTAACATTCTTTTACTAAAAAAAACGGCTTAGTTCTTATGTGGATTAAAATGTTTATGCAAATGCAATATTTTTCTACAAATACCAATGAGAAATAATTGCATTTGGCTAAGTTTCTATGGTAAAGTACATTCAGTCAACTGCAAAAAAATACAGTAAAATTGTAAAGTATAGTATAATATCATACATTTTTTTATCACTCTGTGATTTCCCTGAAGTTCACTGTTTCATAACAATGGTACTTAATACATACATCTCCCCTTCAAAAAAGTGGGAAACTGCGGACAAAACAACTTAAATGTAGGTAAGCTTATATAGTATTTTGTAGGCAGATCAAACTCCTTGTTTCCGAGTCTAAAGCATGCACACGCTTATTCTGCCTATGTTTTGAGCTGTCCAGAAGCTGTGTAACTGCATTAATTCTTGAGCTAATATAACATGTCTCTCAACAGGGCTAATTAGTTTGGGTTCAGCCCCATGTTATAGCTCCAGATTGGCTTGGAAAGTAATCAAAGCAAGCTCTCATCTGTCTATATAAGGCTATGTGTATATACCTGGTACCAGAAACAACAAATAACGCATAATAATTTAGAGTTTGATATTCATTTCTTCCTCCTTTTTTTTTTCTTTATAAAGGTAACAGTTTATGGAAGAAATAACTGCTTGAATAGCAAGTTAATTCATGAAAAAGACAAAACCTGTAGACATCATCACAGGCCATTCTATTATGTACATACTAGACACCCCTGTACATTCATGACACTAGCATTCTTATGTTTTAGGTTTTCGAAATGTAAAATAATGCTGATAATTAGGAATGGGCAAAATCTGTGGAATAAGAAGAGCAAATTCTGCAATCAATAAAGGATTCATAGACTTCAAGGCCAGAAAGGATCACTGTATCATCTGCTACATTGTGCAATGCTACGTTGTTTGATCATCTCTCTGTTTCACCTGTAACACACTTCTGAGATGGGTTTCTGGGCTTCATCTTCTAGGGAGTGGACAGTAGAACTTGACATGTCTTTCTTTACTAATATTGAGGAGCAACAACTTTTTAATTCCTTTCTATCAACATGTAAAAACCCTTTTCTCAACCTTTTTGTCTGTAGTAAAACAAAAAGATTCAAAACTATAGGATATATTTGAAATGATAATTGCAAATACAGATTTTGCAATACTGTTCATATAACCTGCCTGAACACCTGCAGCCTTGATGCATGAGGTGGCTCAGCTCCATCATTGCATCTCGTTATGCATGGCAGGAAGGGGAGGAGATTGTAGTAAACTAGCAGATCATCTCCACAACTCACTGCGCTTTAGTTAATACATGGCTCTACAATAAGTTCAATTCATCAACCTCCTCTTTCATTTGCTATGCCCCCTGCTTTCAAATCATATTTTTTTCCTTAACTCAAAAGTGTTGACTTTTCCTGCCTGGTTCTACTTAGACGTGAACGGACCTTGATCAGTAACCCAACTAGCTATCTTTTGAAGACAGCAAGATGCAACTGTAGTCAGTTCAGAAAACCAGGCATAGAGAGAGTAAAATGTCAGACACAAAGCATCAAACCAGTAAATTCTACACTGAAATAATTTCCCTGTATCTTAGCAAGATGTCAAATTCTGTAACTATGTGCAAACGTGGAATACAGACTTCGATTGCAGTAAGTAGTTTACTTCATGTATATCTTTGCTAGTTTTCCAGTTGTCTGTGGGTGTTGTATTGATTTACACTCATTCATGTTTCGAAATACTCCCTGCAAAAGAAGAAAGTTCTTGGAGCACAGTTCTGTGATAAAGGAAAAAATCTGTGAGCTCTGAGACCTAGTATTCACAAACCATCACAGCAAGCAAAACAAATCATATTTTTGTTCTGCAAAACACTGCTAGCTTAATTCTAATTCTGTAAAATTAGAAACCCATATTCATCAGAACATAATAGTTACTGCTGCCCTCTACCAGTAGAACCTCCAGGCAGATGGCTGAAACAAGCCATTCCCTAAAATTGTGTTACAGTTTGCTAAGCCAGTATCATCAGAAGTGAACTAAGCTTACTAAAGTCTTTTTAAATCAAAGGTCACTAAATATCTCTAACCAGACAATCTTTGTACTCCAGGTAATCATATTAATGTTTACGCATTTGTTTATATAAATCTTTCTGTTAAAAACAAGAATTTCCAATTTTCTACAGTTTAAAACAGTATAAAAAACACTGCACAGTTTAATCTAGAATATTAAATATTCTAGAATCTAGAATACTGAATATTCTAGATCTACATCTGGACAAATCAATTGTTGTGCGCTAATTTGAGTTATTAACTACCTCCCCTGTCTAAAAGTCACTCAGAAAACTTTTAATGCTATTAATTACTAATATTTTACTATGCAATTTTTTTGGCAAATAAAATTACTTAAATCTGATTTAAAAATTGAGTTTTGATAACTGATATCCAGTTAATTAAACTATATTTCTATTTATTGGATAGATCTCAAACAGAGGGAAAGATTAAATATTCTGTCACTAAGTGTGATGTGATGGCATTTTTCCTGTGTTCTTTAGGATTAGCAGTTCTTACACACAGATTATAATTAACAATCTATGAAAAACAAGCACTTAGTTCATACTAGCATACCTTGATTGCATATTAATTCCTTAGTCGTATGAAGAACAAGCAGTAACCAAACACTTAAGGACACAAATTTATTTTTACAAAAGTTCACAGAAGAGGACTAAATAAAAGGCAAATGTACAAGCTTTACCAATCACACCAATTTTGTGGAAGATATATCTACCGCACATTCACCCATCTGTAAAGCAGCTTACATAAGAAAGCTTGAAAAAATATACCACTTTTATCAATACAAAACAAATTAATCAGTAAATATTTAAAATTTATGAGGCATTTCTATGTGAAAACAATCACGCTAAATAAGCTGATTCAGGCAGTTCCAGGAAAACCTTTAGCTGAAAACCTGCATTTACAATCTATCCTAAAAACAAGCAGAACATAGCACCAATCCCAGCATTAGTTCAATTAAAAGAAAGGAAAAAAAAAAAAAAAGAAATCTCTTCTCAGCTTAATAACTTGTTAGTTCTTGACAAGTGCAACAACACAACAATAAGCCAGTCAAAATGAGTTTTTAAAGCGAGGTTATGCCCTTCGTGTTGTGTTATCACAGTGGCAGATCAAACTGCTGACTTGGGCTCTTTCAGCCAGTGGTGCTGATGCTGCCTCTATGAAGCTGCTGTCACGGAATAGTCATGGTACCTGCTCTTGCCTATAGAAAAGCACTAAATTGAACTCGAAGTAGTGTCTTTGTGATATCTTTTCAACAAGTCATGTCCCATTCAGCCTGCTAGTTTATCTCTGTCAGGCTGGGGGCCCAAGTGGTTTGCATGAGCTGACAGGGACAGGTACACCAACCTGCTCAGTGCTAAGGAGGTAATGCATCTTTCGGGCTTGGTATTTCTTTTCCTTTTCTTTCTTTTCTAGATCTTTCCTTTTTTCTTCAGCTTCCTTCATTTCTGCATACTCTTGGAGTTCATTCCTGTAATAAAATAAGTCTGCTAATTATATTACAATAATAAAAGATGTGCTAATGTTTTACTTTACTTTAACCCTTTTGTAGCTTCACAGTGTTCTACTATTATGTATTAGCAGGATACTGACACCACTGGAATGCAAAATTACAGTTAATTCAGTCCCACAGCAGCAGGATTCTATATGGATGTAACTGTGAAGAAATAGGATTAAAATGATAAAACCTATGAACAGTATATTAGTTCATATTGCTTACTTCTTTCAAGAATATGTCAATCTACATATTTTTATAGCTTCATAAAATAGCATTCATAGAGGTCTTTTTTGTCTTTAAGAATCATTTTAGTCTGGATTTCTCTAAGCAGAAGTTATTATAATTTAGTGATTTTCTTTCTAATAACTTCAAATCGTTCATTTATGTTTCCCCTAGTGCCTTACAACACCTCCTTCTGATCTGCAATCAGGGGAGACGTTATGGAATGAAACAGGATAGTAGACACAGGATAACACTTGACATTCACTCCTCGATCCTTGAGTCTTTTGTAAGGTTGAGAACGTAGGTGTAGAGAAGAACTGGACGTAAACCTTCTATGTGTGCAACGTCCTTAAGAGGAGTTTCCATGGCATTGGGCTTCTTGCACAGGTCACTTTCTACTCTGGTCTGATAGCAATGGTATGGGCCACCACAAGAAACAAGAACGTAACGGCCTCTTGAGCCACTGCATGACAGAGGTTTACAAACACATAGTGGCATCTAAATGGGTGGGTCTATGTATTCAGTAAGTCGCAGAAAAAACTTTCATTGTAAAAGAAATAAGAACTGTACCTAATACCAGGTCTTAAAGAAAGGAGAAAACTCATTATTTTAACTGAATGTTTAGGGGAAAACTTTAACTGGAAATGGACTTAGAATTCCTCCTGAGTGGTTCTTTTTTTGTAGAGCCAGGCTTGCCATAAATTATGCAAGCATGGAGTGAATTAATGTTCTATAAGAAACGAAATTCCATGCTATTGTGCACAGCGCATGTGTATGAAATTTCTTTGACCCAGTTAAAAAAGGTTAGTTTGATTAACATTTGTTATTTTTGTTATTAAGAAATGGCTAGTTCAAATTAACCTGTGTGCCAAAGACACCAAGCGTATTCAGTCAAGCATTTAGATTGTTTAAAAGTTAATTAAGTGAGTAAATTCTAGTCTTTATTTTTTTAAGCATGCATGTATATGAGAAAATAAAAAGCCAAGAAAAAGATACTATTCACATATCTGGATAATTCAAATATTCCCATAAAACAGATTATTTAGAGAGGTCCACATTAATGGTCTCAGTTGTTTCAATGAGTACCGAATAAGACAGGCTAGGACAAGGGTCAAATCCTGTCAAAATATGCACATGAATAAGTTTGCTGATACGAATAATCCCATGGGAAAGTCATATTGCTCCTGAAAGTGCTTTTAAGATTGTGATTCAGACTTATTCTTAATATTTTAATTATCATAATGTTAAATTAGTTCATCAAAATATGTGAAGGAGCAATAATTGCTTTATATGAAATCACATTCTCAAATACAAGTTGCAATGTAGAATTTTTATTTGTTTCATGCAATCTTTCAAGTTTTTATCATCTAAAATAAGTAAAATATTAAGTAATTAAACATGTTTTATTTCAAATGTGAAAGAAAAAATAGAATGAAAAGGCAATAAATTAAAGATGGGAAAAGATGTATAGGTCTGTTTCAATCTCTGGAAATATTTTTTGTTGCAGTTTACTGTTAAAGGCTGCTAATACAATATTTCATACAAGGTTACTTATGAAGCACACTGACGTTTAAAAATCACCATGCTATGCTTTTGCAGCAGTGTAATTTTTTTCCAACATAAGATTAAATTGCAAAATAAATGAATTACTTAGAGTGGCATGGCCCCCATTTTGCCACCCTTCTCTTGAAAATTGCTTATTAATATGAAAAAAGAAGTTGGAAAATAGCCTGTTTTACTTTATGCATAGTATTTTGGGGCCTCAAAGCCTGCAGAGCCGGACTAGCTGCACATTTTAGATTGTGTTGGCAAGCGGGGACGATGACCTTTCTGACCTGCATCTCAAGGCTATTATTAATCGCTAAGTAACCTGGTAAAGCCAAACAAATTTGTTTCCATTGAAAGGATCTCTATCTGTGTCTGAGAATTTGTGCTGTACCAAACAAACCTCATTAACTGTGTCCATTTTTGACAAAGAACTAGGAGTTGGAGAGATTGGCGACCTTTCTTTGTCCTTAAGGTACAGATTTCAGAGTCACTGCATGTAGGTACACAAGCATTTTTACTTGGAAACTCTTTGTTCTATATCAATCAATCATAAACAAATGAATAAACAGACAATGCATATAGTATCAACTTTGTTCTTTTATTTTATGCCGCTTTACCTTCAATATCAGAATGTATGATCCATGTTTTACATATTCAATACTATTTATTGTTCCTTTTTGATTACAGATTACTTTATTCAGCTTTAGTACCACTATCAATAACTGATGAAATGTCTATCAACATATTACTACAGTTTATTCATGTTCTTATAGACCCATGTACTTCTTCCCAACAGTAGTTATGGAAGCTTTGTTATTTAGAACACAAATGGTGATGAAAACCCCAAAATTATGTTAAAAATACAAATCTGTATTACAGATGTAATGATAATGGGATGCAAAATGTTTTCCATTGTCATTAATCTGACTTTACCAGATTCCTTTGAATAAATGATTAACAATCATTACTTGCTGAAATTAAACAAAGACTAAAATACTTCTTGAAGTTCAATCTAATTCATGATCTTTTTAGACAGTATTATCATCCAAATCATCATGATCCTTTCTGATTATGACACATTCTCACTAGTACTGTACCATAATCCATTTAAAATTTGAGGGGTTTTAAGCAGTTACAAATAATTTTCCACATACTTTTGCAGCCTTCACATTTTGTCAGTTGTGCTAAAATATTTCTATCATGCATTATACTGCTCTGTACAGTTGTACAGAACATGCAGACAATTCTGTCTCAGAGATAATAGCTCCCAAGATGATTTTCTCCTGAGAGGCAGTACAAAATAAAGGGTATGCAGTAGTCTAAACATTGCTTGAGTGGAAAGCAATGTTTTAGCATAAATGTAGATTTATTCTAAAGCTATTTGAACATGAAACTTTCATCTCTTTTACCATACTTTCAAGAATTTGAATAGGAGCAACAAAAGCAGAGAATCTAAAAGTAGTTTGATATGAATATACTATTTCACACATTAGCAGATTAATATTAACACATTATGCACTGTGCAGGGGTTTTCACTGCTTCCATACAGAAAAATGTGTGTAAGCATAAGTGATACTAAAGACATAAACTTAGATTTCCAAATAGCTTACACATAAATGTGTTTATCGAGAAGTTTCATGCTTGTGACCTCCTACATGTATGCCTTCCCAGAGAAAATAAATTGGAATTCAATTAAAATCAATTGAAAATTTGTTGAAATTAAATGATCTTTGGATTAAACACTTAACTGCCAGCCTTTTCTTTGTTCATACATATCTTAGGTTCATTAAGCAATAGTAAGCAATCTTTTCTTGAGACTGTGTGATATTATGAATACTAGCTATGATGCATGATACTCTGCAAAATCTGGACCAAATTTGCTTCAGGATGAACCTTTAATGGTTTCATGTGAAGTAGGATAATTGAATATGGGCAAATTGTTTGGCCTGTGTTTCCAAAGCTTCACCAAATATTTCTGGGGGAAAAGAGTTCTGTAAATGCTAAACACGTTTTAGGTTAATTAATAATCTTGTTCTATTTATATAAATGATCTGTCTGTTGCATGGCTCATAGTTACAATAGTACTGCTTATTAAACTGTTATAACTGAAAAAGTGGGTATATTTTTAACACATAATCTTTTCATTATCTTAAAGCTTCTCTCAGCATATTAAGAGCATCTACTGCATCTTCCTACAAAACTTGGCTTCCCATATAAGCTTAGTCCAATCACAGTTTCTCCCATGCAGATTTTCGTGGAATATCTTTGTGGATGAAATATGAGTAAGTTTTGACAAATGTAGTCTCTTATCATGATCCGAAAACTGCTCAACAAATCAGAAGCATATCAGTGTTTATTAGCACAAGTTTAGGCTGCATTCTTTTGTTAAAAAAGTGAATATACTGGGAAACATGAAGTGTTTTCCTTGTCATAGAGAATGTTTCTTTTAATCAAAAATTGTCAGAGGATTATCAACGTACGTTCTTAAAGCTCACAATTAAAAGTGCTCTTGTGTTAGAAATCTGTGAAGTAACTATTGACTTTGATTTTTGAGGTCCCTTCCAACCCTAACCATTCTATGGTGATTTATTAATGATAAAATTATTTGCTTTATATAGTTTGAAAATAAAACATTTTCATATGACAAGGTAACTTATTGTTATTCTGATACTTCATTATGCAGTAGGCAGTGGTGTTGGTTCCAGCTATGAGATGCAAATTTGGTTGACAGTGCTCCTGCTGTCTGTATAAAGGTTAAAAATACACATATAATATTGTTCCTGGCACTTTTGGAAAGGTCTTCAAGTGATGATTTCAGCAATATACAGATTTTAATAATTCTGCATAGAACTGCATCATTTTACAAATTCACACTGACCTACATTTATTGAACTTCATCAAACTATTGCATTCTGTTTGCATTTTCACTGGTATTCTGTGGTCCTTTGACCAGATAGCCATAAAATTATAATATTAACTAAAGTAAAGGGCATTTGAGAAAATCAATAATTAGTATAGTTGCCTAGAGTACCCAGAAAGAGTATAAAGTTATTGTGATTTTCAACAGTTCAGACCCCAAATCATAAAATTCCTGCAACATAGGCAGTAGGCAACCTTAGCATAAAAGGAGATAGCCTAAATGGATTTTACCTTCCTGACTATATATCATCTCTCGCGCTTAAACACAGAATATGGAAGTGAAAACGAAATTAGTGGGACAATACTTTTGGTACACCGCTGCATGCCACTTGATTTCACATTACACTGGTGTAGGTGAGAATGGAATATGACCTGCCATGATAATATAATTTGATTTAGTCTATTATATTTGAGAAAAAAATGAAATATACGTATAGACCAGCCCAGGATGTAAAAACAGTTGAGAGAGCTCTGTTCTTTAAAGGTAAAGTTTTAAACGAACAAATGTACTACATGCTTAAGTTAGCTATGTACCATCAGACAGCTTGACAGTCCTCAAACTTTTTCTGATTTTTTGAATGAACCTGTTCAGATTTACTGAGGAGAATAAAGGAGCTCTGTAATCTCCTTACTCCTCTCTACCGTGATGTATACTCCTGTGTATTTCCTGACAGAATCCCTTGACCAAAATGTTTGATCTCAAGTTACAGTGAGACAGATGCTCAAAGAGGCAGTCAATTATTAGCAGTACAAGGTACCTTACTGCCCAGGAGACCTATCACAACTGGATGTCCAAAATTCTTACTAATTTTAAACGTAAATGTTTACATCACCCATTCAACAACTCAATCATGACACTCTTCAAAATCTGGAGGAATGATACTGCTCTGTCATTGCAGTGCAGTGAACAGGAAACTAATATGGCTCCTTAGAATGAAAAAAATTAAAATAAATAAAGCTAATGTGTAGGCATGCAAAAACACCCTACAGTTTCTA